GGCCCTGGGGAGGGCGGGAGGGGGGAAGGGAAGATCTGGCCATTTGTCACGGTGAGAACTGGGCCTGTCGCCAGATGGAGCCAAGAGGGCCAGTCTCCTGGGGGGACCAGCTTTCCTGGGGATCCGGGGAAGCAGGGCTCCCCGACGGGATCCACTCTCCAGCTGCACTGCAATCCAGGGGGACCTACATTAGGTGGAGTGACAGGCACGGCAGTAATTCCGTCCACACGAGCTGCCTGGGGGCGGCCGGGTGCGTCTCTCCAGGAGCCCGTCCACGCACCCTAGGGTGCTAGCCCCTCCCTGCCACGGGCTGCTCCCCTTCCCCGCGGGGGGAAGGCACCTGGGGCTCGAAGGCCTCCCCCTGCCCACTCCCCACCGGGAGCAGGGCCAGCTTGTCCATTTCAGGGCTCCCTGCTGCGAGCGGGCTCCGAATCTACCCAGGGCTTCGACTCCCAGCTGGAGGCCGGTCCGGGAACCTGGGTCTCTGGGGGTTGGTGGAGGGGAGGGACGTTTTGTCAGTTTCACTGCTCCCGCCCTGACATTGACGAGACAGCCCATGGAGGGGAGGCCGTGGCTACAGACAGGGCAGCGTCCTGGCCCTGTGTGCCCTGCCATAACGAGAGCCCTAGGGCAGCCCGATTGTGTAGAACAACCCAGCATGTGCAGCCACCCACCCCTGCAGTTACAATTCCACGCTAAGCGTCTTGCATGTTGTGTGATACACACACCCACCCCTGCAGTTACAATTCCACGCTAAGCGTCTTGCATGTTGTGTGATACACACACCCACCCCTGCAGTTACAATTCCACGCTAAGCGTCTTGCATGTTGTGTGATACACACACCCACCCCTGCAGTTACAATTCCACGCTAAGCGTCTTGCATGTTGTGTGATACACACACCCACCCCTGCAGTTACAATTCCACGCTAAGCGTCTTGCATGTTGTGTGATACACACACCCACCCCTGCAGTTACAATTCCACGCTAAGCATCTTGCATGTTGTGTGATACACACACACACACACACACTCCTGCAGTTACAATTCCGCGCTAAACATCTTGCATGTTGTGCAATACACACACACAAACCCCTGCAGTTACAATTCCACACTAAGCATCTTGCATGTTGTGTGATACACACAAGTACACCCCTGCAGTTATAATTCCACACTAAGCGTCTTGCATGTTGTGTGATACACACACCCACCCCTGCAGTTACAATTCCACGCTAAGCGTCTTGCATGTTGTGTGATACACACACCCACCCCTGCAGTTACAATTCCACACTAAGCATCTTGCATGTTGTGTGATACACACACACACACACACACTCCTGCAGTTACAATTCCGCGCTAAACATCTTGCATGTTGTGCAATACACACACACAAACCCCTGCAGTTACAATTCCACACTAAGCTTCTTGCATGTTGTGTGATACACCCCCCCTGCAGTTACAATTCCACACTAAGCATCATGCATATTGTCTGAAACACACACACACACACACACACACACACACACACATTGCAGTTACTAATCCATACCAACCATCTTGCATAGTGTGAAACACACACACTGACACACACACGCTGCGATTACAAACCCATGCCAAGTCTCTCGCACATTGTGTGCAATCGATTTTGTCACGATTTCGGGAGGACGCCGTTTACAAGCCGGTGGCATTTCAGGGCCCACAGCTTGGTTTCCAGCTGAATTTCGAAGTCCACGGTGTCTCTCCTAAGACGAGTTCTGGGCTCACCCGTTCGGGCTCGTTGGGGGAGGGGAGGAAGAGCCTGCTGAAGACCCGTCACTGGAACGGTGAATTTGGGGGTGACTATTCGTGCCAGGCCCCAAACAACATCCCGTTCCAGCAGAACCCTTTCCCCAGAGCTGTACCCTCCAATCGGCATCTGGCTTCCGACGGGGGGGCGGGGCTGCCTGTGACACGGGGGCACCAGGACTCGTGCTTGCTTCGTGCACCACGAGGGAGCCGAGCGAGCGGCCGCGACACGGGCGAGCGCGTTCGTCACTCGGCCTGGCAGGGCAACCGCCGCTGGTCACCTTGTGAAATAAAAGCCTCCCGTGCCGTCTGCGTGTTCACCTTTGTTCCGGGGTCTCCACCGCCGCGTGTGCTGGCGGAATACGCACATAGGGGAAACCGCTGCCCTTCACCGAGCCTGGTGTGAATCTAAAGTCCCTCATTGACCGTCTGAACTCAGAACGTTTACGCTGATTCACCGGAAGGGCGGGTTGGGTTTTTTCCAGTTTCTCACCAGAGCAAAACCATGCCCAATAAATTGGCCCAGAGCCGGACCCCGCGGAGCCCTCCTGCCGTTTGAACCATTATCCAGAGACCTTCTCAGGGCGGCGTTGGATCCGGGGGGTTGTTTCGTTTTTCGGGGGAGGGGAGAGGGGTCCCGCTTTTTTGTTTTGGGTGTAAAAAGAGAGTTACGTTTCAAAACCGCACACGGCCTTTCAAGACGAGAGCCTGTCAAAGCTCACCGCAAACACTTCCAGGGGAATACGAACCGGCATCCCACGACTCGAGACTCGACTCGGGTTCATTGCTTGTGACTCGAGACTCGACTCGGGTTCATTGCTTGTGACTCGAGACTCGACTCGGGTTCATTGCTTGTGACTCGAGACTCGACTCGGGTTCATTGCTTGTGACTCGAGACTCGACTCGGGTTCATTGCTTGTGACTCGAGACTCGACTCGGGTTCATTGCTTGTGACTCGAGACTCGACTCGGGTTCATTGCTTGTGACTCGAGACTCGACTCGGGTTCATTGCTTGTGACTCGAGACTCGACTCGGGTTCATTGCTTGTGACTCGAGACTCGACTCGGGTTCATTGCTTGTGACTCGAGACTCGACTCGGGTTCATTGCTTGTGACTCGAGACTCGACTCGGGTTCATTGCTTGTGACTCGAGACTCGACTCGGGTTCATTGCTTGTGACTCGAGACTCGACTCGGGTTCATTGCTTGTGACTCGAGACTCGACTCGGGTTCATTGCTTGTGACTCGAGACTCGACTCGGGTTCATTGCTTGTGACTCGAGACTCGACTCGGGTTCATTGCTTGTGACTCGAGACTCGACTCGGGTTCATTGCTTGTGACTCGAGACTCGACTCGGGTTCATTGCTTGTGACTCGAGACTCGACTCGGGTTCATTGCTTGTGACTCGAGACTCGACTCGGGTTCATTGCTTGTGACTCGAGACTCGACTCGGGTTCATTGCTTGTGACTTGAGACTCGACTCGAGACGCGACTCGGGTTCATTGCTTGTGACTTGAGACTCGACTCGAGACGCGACTCGGGTTCTTTGCTTGTGACTTGAGACTCGACTGGAGACTCGACTCGGGTTCATTGCTTGTGACTTGAGACTCGACTCGAGACGCGACTCGGGTTCATTGCTTGTGACTTGAGACTCGACTCGAGACGCGACTCGGGTTCATTGCTTGTGACTTGAGACTCGACTCGAGACGCGACTCGGGTTCATTGCTTGTGACTTGAGACTCGACTCGAGACGCGACTCGGGTTCATTGCTTGTGACTTGAGACTCGACTCGAGACGCGACTCGGGTTCATTGCTTGTGACTTGAGACTCGACTCGAGACGCGACTCGGGTTCTTTGCTTGTGACTTGAGACTCGACTGGAGACTCGACTCGGGTTCATTGCTTGTGACTTGAGACTCGACTCGAGACGCGACTCGGGTTCATTGCTTGTGACTTGAGTCTCGACTCGAGACGCGACTCGGTTTCATTGCTTGTGACTTGAGTCTCGACTCGAGACGCGACTCGGTTTCATTGCTTGTGACTTGAGTCTCGACTCGAGACGCGACTCGGTTTCATTGCTTGTGACTTGAGTCTCGACTCGAGACGCGACTCGGTTTCATTGCTTGTGACTTGAGTCTCGACTCGAGACGCGACTCGGTTTCATTGCTTGTGACTTGAGTCTCGACTCGAGACGCGACTCGGTTTCATTGCTTGTGACTTGAGTCTCGATGCACCCGGGGACGGCGCCGCACGCCCAGGGTCAGGGCGCCAAAAGGGCTCAGGCCGGCCCTGACCGCAGCGATCGCATCCCCGCCGCCCAGCTGCACTGCTAGTAGTTAGCCAGTGCGGCAAGTGTGATGTATGTTAAGAAATGAAAACAGACAGTGACTATTGTTATTTACCGACGTTGATGGCTCGTTCAAAAGTGACTTGATCTTTTTTAAATTCACACTGGAGACTCCACTTGAAAGTGACTTTGGGGACTCGAGACTCGACTCGAGACTGAACTGTTGTGACTTGAGACTCGACAACGACGACTTGAAGACAACACTGCACGTCGGGTTTTGTGAGTGAAATGGGCTGCCCAGTTGGACCCACCTGTAGTAAGTTGAGGGTCGGGAACATGGAGTCCGCAGGCCTGAATAGAGGCCCGTAACATGAAAGCAGCAACAGGCCTAGAATCTAGTGAGCCAGACTTTGGTTCAATAACTCAGGAGCCAAGAAAGAGACCCTCCTGATAACGGTGTAATTGTGTAAGTTAGGTGGAGCATGGGAGGACCAAGTACAGTCAGCCAAAAGGGAGGAACGGAACAGCTTAAGGAATGTCGTGGTACAAGGACTCCCTGGAGTTATGCACATACCGAGCGAGGTTCAGGACCAGGTCGTCCTGACAGGATGGCGAACAGAAGGTAAGCCCCCCGGCATAAGGGGAGGGGAGGTAACTAGGCAACAGAGGGTGGCCGCCTGGTACGTAACGAAGTGATGTACGTTGTCTGTACCGGTCTATAAAAGGACACCGCAGAGGATGCTCTCCGGCCGACCTTGGCGGGGGTGCACTAGGCGCCTGAACGGCCGGTGTCATTGCCTAGACTTACAGAATGCACAGTGGCTTAACTCTGCCTGCCCGGTGTTGGTACCTTGTCAGCGCGGGCCATAGTGCCCAGTGGTGTAACTGTAGGATCTCTGCTACCGACTGGTAGAGCTTCGCATTTGGCAACAAACCTGCTCGATTGATTTCAAACCTTGCCTGCACCGGTTGTGTCCGGGGGCTGTCGGAGATCTCCTGTGTTGACCCAAGTAGACCCAAGTCTAACACTCGAGATAAAGGTGTGACGGCGCGTTGGGGTTCTCCCGTCTCCTGCACCCCGAAATGGCACGAACAGACTCCGCCAGCCGGTAGAATAGAGGGAGTTTATTGCCTCTCCAGGATACAGCACAGCACAGATGGAATCTGGTTACAGGAACTGGGGCTAAGAGGCCTCAGTGCCCCCCCTTGAGATGGGGGGTGGCTGGGCCCTACAATCCCAGCCCCCCTCCCCAGCTCCTTCTCCCCTGCTTTCCAGACAGAAACTAACTAACTCTCTTCCAGCCCTGCCCCCCAGCCAGGGGCGGCATCCACCTTCCTTTGTTCCTCTCCATGGGGGGTAGCTGGTCAGACAGGTTTGGAGCCCCCTTGCATAATGACTCACTCCCTGCCCTGCTGGGTCATGCTACAGACAGCAGAGGTCGCCCACAGTCCTAGCAAGGTACCCACACTACGTCACAAAAGGGCGCACCGATTGTTACACACGCCGCCGAAAATTTCTCATCACCGACGGAGGAGAGGCCCGGTCAGGAGCACGCCAGGACGACCTGGACCAGACGAGACTGACACTGAGTTCAGACCACCGAAGGTACTGGGGTACAGAACGCTGAAGTACGACTCCACCGTCGGGACTCGTTTGGGTGCCCTGAAAACGGCGCCTTTTCTTACATTTACGCTGGGCTGACAATGTTTCTCCTGGCTCTAGAAATGACTTGGAGCCCTTCGGAGTGAATAGCTCCGGCCTTGTCTGCGCTGACAAATAGGGTTGCCAGGTGTCCAGTATTGAACTGGGCAGCCCAGTATCTTTGCCTTCCATCCGGTCAAAAAAAATACCAGACACGTAAAAAGTCCAGTCTTTTCTGGTTTTCCTGACTCGGGCGTCCACCAGAAGGGCGGTTTGGACTTGCAGTGCAGGTCATGCAGCTGTGGCGGAGAGGATATTGGAGCAGGATGGGAATTAAAGGGGTCGCGACGGTATTTCCCTGGTCAGTCTTTTTTTTTGCTCAACAGAATTTTTTCCCGTTTTTTTTGGGAGGCTTGGTATTTTTTGTGAAACCATTTGGCAGCCCTATTGACAAGTTTTGTCACCCAAAACCTGCCTTTTGGTGACAACACCGGGAGGGCGTTTACACGGCCATACATTGGGGGACAAAAAACATCCAGCCCCTCGAGAGACTTTTGTCTGTTCCCCTCCCTTTATTGTCGACCAAGAGCCAGTGCGGACTCTGCTGTTTGGTTTGTTGGGAGAACTGGCTTCCGCCAGGGTCCCACCATGCCTGCCCTGCTGGCTCTGCTCAGTGTCTTGTGATCTCTGCTGCTCTGCAGGCCTGCGCCCCTCCCCTGCCAAAGCTCCGGGACATGTCTGACAGCTGAGGGAGCTGCTCCCTTAGGGCAGGGGTTCCCAAACTTTTTGACATGGGGACCAGTAAATCCATTCACGAGATTTCAGAGGATCGGTAACATTCATTTACATATCTGCATATTCATTAAGCAAATGTCGAATATGCAAATACTTTGGTTTTGGTCCTCCCAAAGCCCACAGGGCCAGCTTTAGCAAAGCTTTTAATATGGCCACCCACAACATTCTTACCAGCAAATTAAGGGAATATGGATTGGAAAAATGGACTGTAATCCGATAAAACCCTGCACCACCACATCGTGTATTGAAAAAGGGCTCATTTATTTTCAGAAAGCCGACGCCATCTTTGGAATTTTGTATCCACATTCTCATTCCGGATGGTGAACGCCCCAGGTTCTCCATTTTGACACACTGTAGAGCCTTTAAACCTCACTAGCAGCCGTGGGGATATGTAAAAGGCCCGGCTTTTCCATTTGGATTCAGGGTCTGCGTGAGCCCTGAACTGTCCCGCTCCCCACTGGTATTTTCAGAAAGCCGACGCCATCTTTGGAATTTTGTATCCACATTCTCATTCCGGATGGTGAACGCCCCAGGTTCTCCATTTTGACACACTGTAGAGCCTTTAAACCTCACTAGCAGCCGTGGGGATATGTAAAAGGCCCGGCTTTTCCATTTGGATTCAGGGTCTGCGTGAGCCCTGAACTGTCCCGCTCCCCACTGGCCGATTCTCTCCCCCTCTGCCCCACCTTCCCCCCCTCCACAAACCTATGAATGGGGCAC